GTGGTGACCTAAGGAGAGTCAGGAGACACAGGCATGGCATGACAGAAGCTTTTCTGTAGCTTGCCTGTGCTCCCTGAGGATTCCACCGCCACCAAAGCAAATCTGAGGGCAGGACACACCCCTTTATTAACTGGAGTTCATGGTGGGGTGGAGGGGAGGCTGTCAAAAGAAACTCACCTACCACAGGACCTTAGAGACACAGAACCTCCAGGTAAATGATTCTGTAAATGTCATGGCTTCCAGGAGGAGCCTCGGAAGGAGGGTGGAAGCCGAGGTAGCAATTTGGCATAGGGTGAAATTGCATCCAGAGCAACCATGCAGTTCAGATTGCAAGTCACAGTACAGGTGTGCATGTGACTGCCCAGTCCCCATGACGGATGTCTTATAAGAAATTTCCTCCCGGCCCTGGAAAAGGGACATGGCCTTTGCATGTGAAGAGGAGCTCTTCTGCTGGGACTGCTAGATAGTATTTGTCGATCACATAAATCCTACCAGTCTGTACCTCTTAAAATTGAACTCTGCAAAGGTGCTGCCTCAGGTAGAGGTCCATTTAACAATGCACATGATTTCATATTTCAGAATACCACCACTGCTGGTGACCAGGCTCCACTAAAGGCTTTCAGAGTCTGTTCTCTGAATAAGCGCTTGAACAATTTCTCTGTTGTGTTTTATTATGAATATGATTGACCTTCTTCCCTTCTTCCCCTGTCCCAAGCTGTACTCATTTGTTGATTGATACTTTATCTCTGACACATGCACCTGTGTGCATGGCATGTATAAATGAACACACGTACATGCATACACACAGCAGTTGCAATTCTTAATACACCAGGAGTCCAGAGATATGGTCTTAGTTTTCATGGGGAACCATAAGATGCTCTTTAGCCTTTTATTTTGAACATTTTATTTGACAACCCACCCCACAGGAATAATATCTGTTCTGGTCTCTATGTCCATTGTTCCTAAATATAGATAAATGTGTTGCCAGACAGTGTCTAATTTTCCTATTTGGGGCTATGTTTAAAACACTAGACAGCTGGGCATTCCCTGTAATACCAGCTATACAGGAGATGTAAGTCGGAGGATAATGGTCAAACACTGACCCTGGGCAAAAAGCACCATACCCTCTCTCTGAAAAATAACTCAAGGCAAAAATGGTCTGCGAGTGTAGCTCAGGTAGTAGAGAAATGGTCTGCTCAGTGTCAGACCCAGAGTTCAAACCCCAGTAAAATGGATAAAAGGAAAAATTCTAATTAACTTAAAAATCTAAACGGCATATTTCTGTTGTCAGACTGTCAATGTTAAAACCTTAATGCATAGTCCTCTGGACATTTTTCTGTGCTTATTGCAACAATAATCTTCTTTTCCATTTTACTAACAGTGTATGTTCCCAAATACATTAATAACATTCCAGTTTCCCTAGTTGACCTCAAAATGTACTTCACTTGTACTTTGCCAAGACAGTCCTGACCACATATTGAATTTCGCTTCCGCCTGTAGGTTTCTTCCCCTCCACCCTGATCCCTATTGATGTGATAACAAATGTCATCTCCACATGTCCCAGTAAAGTCAATTTAGTTCATCAACTGCTCCCCTAATATCCTATTAACTGAAAGTTTGATCTAAAGGCTGAATGGGTTTAAGTGAAATACTTTGGGGAGAGACTACATCTCCAGTGATACTGATACCTCGTGCTAAGCAACCAGTGGGCAACCACATAGCCAGCCCACCACACCCACCATGCTAGGGTAGAACATTTTGTCAGTGAGCTACATGCTTCAAGGGTGTAGCAAAATAAGCTGTTTTTCCACTTCCATGCTGTTGACATTTGAGTCCAAATAGTTCTGTGGGGAAGAACTGTCCTGTGTGTGGTAGGATTGTGTGTGTGTGTATGTGTGTGTGCGCGTGCACGTGTGCATGTGCACATGCACATTTGTGCATTTGTGCTCCAGAGCTTGAACTTGAACTCAGGGCATTTTGCTCTTGCTCAGCTTTTTCGCTCATAGCTAGCACTCTACAACTTGAGCCACCTCCAGTTCTAGCATTTGTATATTTACTTGGAAAAAGTCACTCAGATTTGACTGCCTGGGCTGACTTTGAATCCTGTTTCTCAAATCACAGACTCCTGAGTAGCCAGGATTACAGGAATGAACCACCAGCAACCTGCCACCAGAGCCTTATAAATGGAGAGGAGGGGGGTAGGAGTGCTGGGGCGGGGGAAGATGGGAGAGAGCACAGGAGGCTCTGAGTTAGAGAAAGAATGTGACCAGATCAATGGCCAGAGCCCAGGAATCCTAGCAGCCTCCCGGAAGCTGGAAGAGACAAGGGAAGGTCTTTCTACAGCCTGCAGAAGGAAGGTAGCCCTGCTGAGCTCTTGATTTCAACCCAGGGAAAACTTTACACCAGGGACTGCATGAGTGCATGCGCGCGCGCACACACACACACACACACAAACACACACACACACACACACACACACACACACACACACAAAAAGGGTTTTGCACAGGACCAAAGAACCAGGCTGAGGGGCTGGGAAGATGGCTCAGTGGTAGAGTGCGTGCCTTGCATGCCTGAGGCCCTGGGTTCGATTCCTCAGCACCACATAAGCAAAAAAAGAAAAAAGCCGGAAGTGGCGCTGTGGCTCAAGTGGTAGAGCGCTAGCCCTGAGCTGAAGGGCTGAAGGACAGTGCCCAGGCCCAGAGTTCAGGCCCCACAACCAGACCCCCCCCCAAAAAAAAAAAGAACCATGCTGAAGCCTAAAAACATGGGATTTAACGAAATTATAGAAGCCTGCTTCAGGAAGGAGAAAAGACTGAGATTTCTCCACTTTGTAGGGAGATTTTCATAAACTGCAACTACAAACATGTAAGGAAGTTCAGAAAGACAAATAAGAGAAAGCCTGCCAGGAGAAGGAATGGCCAGCATGCGCTTGACCATGCAGAAAACCTTAACAGAATAAGAGTAGCCTTTAGTGATTGGGTTGGCTTGTGCTTAAAGGGATGTTGGCACAGTGAACTGTTCACAGGGGCTCCGCTGTTCTCTGGCAAATCAGTGTAATCCCCCTCTCAGAGAGCTAAGGCCGGAGGATCTTGAGTTGGAGTCCAGCTTGGGCTACAACAGTAGAACCTTGTCTCTAAATACATTCATGTAGACCTAGTAAATAAGTAAATCAAAGGGGCTGTTTTTTCCTTTAACTTTTCAAAAACAGATCATGATAAATTTGGGTGACATATTGGAAGGCCCTTTGTCCATCTATAGCCAGGTTCAGTGTAGTTTATGGTAGTTTGTGAATCTAGAGGGGAAAAAACAATGGGAACTCACAGTCAGCATGGGGAAACCCTAAACCCAAGTCCAGTTAGCCTCATTACCTTTGGTTTTATTTCATGAGGTGCTGGTGATAGAACCCAGGACCTGGAGCATGCTAAGCATGCACTCTACCATTGAACCACTACCCCTCAGTCCCATTGCCTCTGAGTTAGGAAAGAAATTGGCAAATCAAGTTTTGGTCATGGACATGAGCTCACAAAATGTTAGGGCCAGAAGAAACAGTTTTTCTAGGAGCCCTAGTCAGTGAAGGAGAATCCCTGGCTTTAGAAAGACAATGAATATTCCCACATTATTCCTTGTGCTCTATTTGTAATGCAGGCTCATAGGAAAATAAAAGGCAGTGGCAGACTCTCTGGCTTGCTTTGCTCATATAACTCTCTCTCTCTCTCTCTCTCTCTCTCTTTCTCTCTGCCATTTTTAAGTTTCCTTGTAAACTGTCATCATGAGAAGTAAGTAAACTATTTGAGTCAGCATCTTGTTATAATTCACAGATGTCAGAGCTCTAGACTTGAGACCCCAGATCTGCCCAGTCTTGATTAATTCTCACCTCCTTAAAGCCAAACTATATCTCCCAAGTAGAGAAATGTGCAGGGCAGATGATCAGATCATTATTATGGGTTCCAAGGAAGGACAAGAAAAAGACTGATTCTGCTCAGATGAGTATCCACCACAGCATCTGACTCAAGTTTCTCAGTATGAAACGTGGATTACACAGCTGAGGAACCACTAGAGCCTTTGTCACTCCGCTGTTTTTTCTGGAAGTCCTGAATAAATGTGCAGGTGCTGTATGGTTGCTTGGTTTACAAGAGAAAGAGTAAAAATGAGACATGAAATCAGTCCTGTGTGTGGTCATCTCCAGTGTCTCCCTCCACCCCGTGGTTTTGAAAGCCTCAGGCCACAGGGTTACAGCATTGGCTGGCATGTGAGCAACCAGCACCATCTACTAATTCCAGTCCAAGAAGGAAGGCAGAAAATGCTGGTGTCAGTTGACTAAAGCATTCTTAGTCAACATGTCTGGACAAGTGTCCACTTATCTTACACCTAGAAATGATTGTGACCATGGCTACATTTAAACCAAATATTGACCTGCTTGTTAGCCTGTTCCTAAGTTGCTACCTCCCCCTGCTCTATTCTCTTGTGTCTTCTCCTTCAGTGACTTGGGTGTGTATTTCAATACCTGTTTATTAGATTTCTGGCTTTATTTCAGTTTTTTTTCCCCGTAAGGCCAGAGGAAAAGCCACCATGTTTGAAGACTGGGTGATGGTGCTTTCTGAATGGGATAAATCCCAGAGCTAGATGTGATGGTACAGACTTATAATCCCAGCACTCAGGAGGCTGAGGCCAGAGGATTGTGTTTAAGGCCAGCCTGGGCTACATCACAGGACTTTGTCCTAAAAAAAAAAAAAAAAAAGAAGAGTGGGGGAGGGAGGAAGACACGAGAGAGGAAAGGAGGAAAACTGCATCTTTACAAGTGTGTTATAAGCGGAAACTTTACACTTAGATTTAACTATTGAATGCCAGAGATACATGCAGAGGCTGTCGGGTAAGGTGGTGTCCATCTGCAAGCCCAGCCCTCTCAGACAGGAGGATGCTGAGTTGGAGATTCTCCAAACTGTGTGTGTATTTTTGCCCTGTGAAACGTCCTGTGGTTCCCCTCCCCCCCTCCGCAGGACTATACGTTGTTATATGAAGAGGCAAAATATTTTCAGCTACAGCCCATGCTTTTGGAGCTGGAACGATGGAAGCAAGACAGAGAAACTGGCCGTTTTTCACGGCCCTGTGAGTGCCTCGTGGTACGGGTGGCCCCAGACCTCGGAGAGAGGATCACCCTCAGCGGCGACAAGTCCTTGATAGAAGAAGTGTTTCCAGAGATCGGCGACGTAATGTGTAACTCCGTCAATGCAGGCTGGAATCACGACTCAACGCACGTCATCAGGTTTCCCCTAAATGGCTACTGTCACCTTAACTCAGTCCAGGTATGGCATCATGTGACACTCTAAACGCTGTTACTTAACTCCACCTTTACTCAGGGCCTTTCCTCAGACAGTGGGGTGGGTGTCTTGTGGGTACCATTCTGTGGGGGTAGGTAATCACCCCTTTATGACATTCATCACTTCCTCAAGTCTTTACTGAGCACCTACTATCTGCCAGGCTCTGGTTAAGCATTAGAGGTACAGAAAAGGATAAGATAGAGAGCAGATGTAGGGTGATGGAGCTGGCACTCTAGAGGTGAGGTAGAGCACAACACAAACATTCCCCAAGTAGTAGTGAGGACAAATCCAGGGTCAATAGCTCAGAGAAAGGAATGTGTGCTTTCTGAGGACCCCACGGTCGGAATGTGCTTGGCACACTGAGGAGTAGAATGAAAGCCAGAATGGCTTGAAGGAAATGAGTCACAGAGGGTGAGGGTGCTAAGCTATGAAGCCACAGGTGGCCACAGGCAATTGTGGGGGGCCCTGCCGAGAGTAGGAAGCACTGGAGAATTCTGCTTTTGGTTTCTTTTCATCTGGATCCGTTTGCTTGTGTGAGTCCAGTAGAAAGCCATGGGAGGACTCGGAGCCAAAGAGTAACTTTGCACTTAAAAATGAATACTCAGGCCAGGAGCTACTCAAGAGGCTGAGATCTGAGGGTTGTGGTTCAAAGCCAGCTCAGGAAGTCCCCATCAGACTCTTATCTCCAGTTACCCACTCAAAAAACTTAAAAAAGAAAACAACAACTGGAAGTGGCACTGTGGCTCAAAGTGGTAGAGCACTAGCCCTGAGCAAAACTGCTCAGGGACAGCACCCAGGTCCTAAGTTCAAACCCCACAACCAACCACAACAACAAAAAATACTCTGTTCATTTCATTGAATATGGTGACTGCACTGACCATTATGCAGTCATAGTATTCAGTGAAAATGGATGTAGGAAAATTGAGGGGCTGCGTGGGGCTGGGAGAGATGAGGGACAATGAAGAAAGGTGTGACCGTGATCAGGATGCATTGTACTCGCAAACTGACATGTTCAATAGAAACTCCTTTGTGCAACTATGTAAAGATAATAATAAAATACAATAAAGTAAAATAAAATAATAAAATGAATACTCCAGCGGCAGGTGAAAGCAGCAAAGCAGGGGATCCGGTGGAAAGCAATGGTCAGTGCACCAAGTGTCTTGAATGTAGACCCAGCCAAGTACCTTGACCAAGGCTATGGGGTGGAAGGGAAAAGCCCAGAGTGACTGAGATTTTGTGCCAATACTGGAGCTGAAACTCAGACCCTCAGACTCTCACTCAACTTTTTCACTCACTATTGGCATTCTACAACTTGATCTACACCTCCAGTTCTGGCTTTTTGCTGGCTAATTGGAGATGAGTTCATTAATCTTCCCAGGCTGGCCTTGAATCTTGGTCCTCAGAACTTAGCCTTCTGAGTATGGCTAGTATTACAGGCATGAGCCACTGATGCCCAATTGTGGCTGAGCTCTTTTTTGTGTGTATGCCAATACTGAAGCTTGAACTCAAGGCCTAGACTTTTTTGCTCAAGCCTAGCACTCTACCATTTCAGCCACAGCTCCACTTCTGGCTTTGGTGGTTAATTGGTGATGATAAGAGTCCGGGCTGGCTTCAAATTCGAGATTTTTATATCTCAACCTCCTGAGTAGCTAGAAATACAGGCCTGAGGAAAAAAAGTCTTGGGAGGAGAAGAGTAGGGTGAGATTCAGAACTGGTTTACTCCATGTGAAGTGCCAAGTGCCTTGATGCTGGTGTGTGTGTCGTTGTCTTAGCCAAACATGCAGCATGGATGTGGCCTTCCCTCAGGCCAGGGCCAGGGATGCATTGCCCTCTTAAAACAGTGCAAATGGATGAGCACCGCCGATTTCTATCATTCTATAAAAAGTAGAGGCACATCTGAGTCTTGCATGCAGATCTGTTCAACAGAAAACTATCTGAAGTGAATTTCTCCTTCCCTCTCTCCAGTTGGCATGGGTCCATGACTCTGTCCTGTATTTAGCTAACAAAATATCTCCCAGAACTTGAAGACTACAAACACTCACTAGCCCATACTACTTCTGGAAGAATTTTCCACAACTATTTATAACTTTTCAGAGTTATATGCGATTGTCTCAGAGCCTAGCAGCAGAAACATATGGCAGAATACGCCCCTCCAGTAGGCACATACCCACATCACCGCTCCAGACATTGACAATCATAGTCTCACCTGTGTGGGTAGCGCCCCCTGGGGGTATGTGACCTGAACTGTGCCCCTAAGTAGGTCTTCTGTTTGTAAATGCCTGAGATGCCCAACACTTTACCCCTCCCATACTTGCTGCCAGATGTTGCATGGAGGAAGAGGAGCATTCAGAGCCAAAAAAGAAGACCTCAGCTCCACCCCCCTGGCCAGTGAACACCTTGCATCAATTCACATGCTTGACACATTGCCCAGATCTGATGTGGAAATTTTCATCTGGATTAACATCATCGGGCAACATGGCCATGACCTGATCTTGCTTCCTCCTCCACCCACCAAGAAATAGATGCCTGCCTGCAGGCACACAGAGACTCCTGATAGGAAGTCTGACTCCTACCACTCCACGGAATTAGTTAAACTCTCTCAAGCCATTGCTAAATCTAAGGAACCTGGCTATCGAATGAAAGTTAAAAGGCTCTGGCGGCTGATGCCTATAACAGTAGCTACTCAGAAGGCTGAGATCTGAGGATTGAGGTTCAAAGCCAATCCAGGCAAGAAAGTCTGTGAGACTCTTTATCTCCAATTAACAAAAAAAAATTAAAGTGGAGCTTTGGCCCAAGTAGTAGAGTGCCAGTCTTGAGGAAAGAATCTAAAGGATAGCGCTTAGGCCCTGAATTAAAGCCCTAGTGCTTGCACATGCACACACACATACGTACTTACATTCATACATGCACACATGCACACTTCATCACAGTGAAGTAAGTACTTGAATACCTCACAGCACGGATCACTGTCTATATGCGATCCTCTGAGGAGGATGGCACTCAGGGATTTTCTTATATGAGCAACTTAGTGGCCATCACAACCCTGACAGGAAAATGAGCATCAGAGTTCACTGTTATCATTCACCGCTGCCTGTCTTTCTGTTTTCTCTCTAGTCCTGGCAAAGAAACCTTACAGAGGAAACTGGGGTGTCTCTTGCTGACAGGCTGCATTCCTGCTCTGTTGGGAAATTCTCCTTGAGTGAGGTGTTCTTTGCCTTTTTATATGCCAAGGCACATCTTGATTTTGAGCTTAGGGATCATTTTCATCACTCTGTCCCTAGGCAGCTGCCATGTGTGTGCACATTGTTAGTTTACCTGCAGAGACTGCGCATGGCACTGGTATGCTGATTTTGTTCTCTAAAGGACTTGTGGCTTTGCTTTAATTTGCCAGGATTTGAAGTTTCAATTTTTAGAAAGCATAATGTGGCTTTCTAATCTCATCTAGTAAGCAATCTTACAAAATAGATTATTTTCCATATGGAAGTAACAATATTTAAAAAAACAGAAAGGGTAACATTGCCTTTTTAAATGGTGGTTTTTATTAGAGACAGAATCTCAGTAGTTAGCCTAGGTATACTCCCTACCTCTGCTAGGATTACAGATGTGTCCCGGCAATGTACTTTATTATTGGCAACATTTTTGACAATTATTTAATAACATTTTATTTCATTTCAGAAAAAATTAGCCAGGTGCTGGTGGCTCACACCTATAATCCTAGCTACTCAAGAAGCTGAGATCTGAGGACCCCGGTTCAAAGCCAGCCCAGGCAGAGAATTTTGTGAGACTCATACTTCCAACTAACCACCAAAAGTCAAAAGAGGAACTATCGCTATAGCAATAGAGCACTAGCCTTGAGCACAAAAGCTCCAGGAGAGCACACAGGCCATACATAAGTTCAAGCCCCAGGATAGGCACCAAAAAAAATTTAACCAGATTTTCCCCCCAAGATTTACAATTGTGATCTCTTGCCTTTAAAGTAGCATAGAAGTGATTTTGTTAACTATATCCAGAATACTAGCAGGAAGCATTTGAAAGTCTGATATGTGAAGAATTGCTGAAGAAAAGAATGCTGTAGATGAGCTGTAATTTTGCCTCTGAGGTGCCAATTCTGTTTCCCACCTTGAAGGGTGTCAGACATGCAATAGCAGATGCAGGGATCTTTGTGATGGTAGGCATTTGATTTAAGAGTTCAACAGTAGATTGGGCAGTGTGTATAGATCTGAAACATTTTGGATAGATTTCATTGTATCTATTCTTCCCTTGGGTTTATGCAAGGCAATACATATATGTCAAATGCCACAATCTTGAAAAGGTGCAGGGAACCCTTACTGTCTTCAGTAATCCATTTGTTTTGCTATTAAAGTATGTCAGTCTTCCCAGCTGAACTGTAAATAAGAACTCAGTACTGAGGAAGTGGAAAGAATGAATGGATCACTGGTTAAGTAAATTCAGATACTACTGTCTTATTATCATCTCATAGAACATATTTCAGAGGTAAATGAGCTTTTTTTTGGCCGGGGAGGGGGGGGGGAGGTCCCTTCTTGGGGCCTGAACTCTGGGCCTGGGCGCTGTCCCTCAGCTCTTCAGCTCAAGGCTAGCGCTCTACTACTTAAGCCACAGTGCCACTTCCGGCTTTTTTCTTTTTTTGATTATGTGGTGCTGAGGAATCGAACCCAGGGCCTCAGGCATGCAAGGCAAGCGCTCTACCACTGAGCCACCTTCCCAGCCCAGTAAATGAGCTTTAAAATATGAATTCTTACGTTTTTCAGGGAGGGTAGTATTCATATTTTTTTAAAAAAAGGAAAAAAAACAACAACATGGGATTTGAGACAAAACAACCTGGCCTTGCAAACCCATTTCTGACTTACAAGCTTCATTTTCCTCATCTAGAAAATGAGGAAGCTCTTACCCCGGGTATTATAGCTAACATGCAAAAAGCAAACTGGCAAAGGCATGATTTAGGTATTAGAAATGTGTATAACCCACTCCATCCCTTCAAACCCAGGTCTTTCTTGAACAGTTGAAATTCAGAGGGACATAGTTTTGGAGGAGACAGGCCCAAATTGCATATGACCTTACCCTGTAAAAGAACAATTGTTTGGGGGTGCTTTTGTGGGCCAACAGATGGATATCTCTAACCAGATGTTTGTCTTGGTCCCTCACAGGTCCTTGAGAGGTTGCAGCAAAGAGGATTTGAAATTGTGGGCTCCTGTGGGGGTGGAGTGGACTCGTCTCAGTTCAGTGAATATGTCCTCCGGAGGGAGCTGAGGCGGACAGCCCGTGTACCTTCTGTCATCCGAATAAAACAAGAGCCTCTGGACTAAACAGACATGTTTCTTATGCAAAAACAAACAAACAAGGAGGAAAACATACATGACCACACAATCAGAAGTGGGACATTTATGTGCAGTTGGGACAGCAAATCAAGTTCTGGACCTAAAATTGAATAAAAGACACATTTATATCAAATAGAGATCACACCTGTACTCACATGGGAACAATTGGAATAGTGATATTCTCAAGGTGTAAAAAAATATATATAAATATAAATATATATATATATGTCAAAAAGTAGGAAATGCAAAAAAAAAGAAAAAGAAAAAAAAGAAAAGAACAAAAAAAAAAAGGTGATAGCTACAGTTGGTGCTGTGAAGGTCGGGAAGTGTCCTAGGCCTCTCAAGGCCTCTGACCAAAATGAAGCCATGAGCGGAAGGACACAGTCTTCTTACTGTTTCCATTGCCAACAGCCATCCATTGTTTCTTTTTCCTTTGTCTTTCTTTTTCCTTTTTTTTATTTTTTAAAAAACAAAACCAAAACACCCTGCATGGTGTTTCTTTACTTATGGAAGTTTCATGTCCCTTTGGGTGGGGACCAGGTGGGACTTGAGGAGCCCCTGGAACACCTTGGATCAGAAGGACCGTAGGCATGCCATTCGACATGTGGTTTGTACAGGAGTGACACTTTTTGTTGTCAGCCTCACAGATGTGAACTTTACTTTGTTTTTTTAAAACTGATCAGTTTTGCAAAGGGGCCAGAATTATTACTTGTTAGAGATGCTCTAGTCTGAGTGTGCTGCTTTCCTACAATTTTTCAAATTTTATAATGTATTAAATACAATAAACTCTGTTTAAAAAATAAGGTCTGTGTGAAACACACATGTGGGGATAATGGATTAAAATGATTTCCCCCCCCAATTTTTTTTGAGGTTGAGTTATCAAAACGTTACAGCAGGAACCAGATTTGAAATCAAAATCCACTAAAGGATACAGGTGTTGATATCTGTTCTTGAAAGATCTCTTCCAACTCAGCATATTTCTCTCATGCTCTATTAAGTTTTCGTTTGGTTTCTCTCTCTCCCCCTCCCTCCCTCTCTCCCTCTCTCCCTCTCTCCCTCTCTCTCTTTGGTGCTGAAAATCAAACCCAGAACTTTACACAAGCCAAGAACATTCTTCTCAACCTTTGAGCAATACCCTCTTTCCCAGTCTTTCTCCTTTTGTGCTTTCAGTTATATTGTATTAGTTCCTCAGAGCAAACCACACCAGAATGGAGTGGCTTAAATCTTTCATCCTCTCCTGTGGTTCTCTGCTGCTCGTGAGCTCCCTGGCCTTGGCTGGAGCTCCCACATGGTTGCTTCTACATTGTGTGACATCATCCAGAGGCACGATGTCATGCAGAGGTATGATATCATCCAGGGGATGTCCCAGATGGCTCATCCAAATGGCTACAATTCATATAGCCATTGCCTTCCAAGCAGCCTCAGGGCCATCAGCAAGAAGTTTTCTAAGCAGTAAGTATTTCAAAAAGGTAGCAGTGGAAGCTACAGTCCTCCTGCAGGCCAGCCCTGGACCTACACAGGGTGTTTCTGCTACATGTTGTGAGCTGAGCAGACACCCAGCCCGCCAAGGCCAGAACAGAAGTGAAATAAAATCCACCACCTCCCAGTAAAAGTAATAGAGAATGTGTGGCTAACTTGGATCTACCATAGCAGAACCCCAATAGATCTTCAAAGTAATGTGTTTCAGGTTTGGAAGAAATAAGGGAATCTCCATGCAAGATCAATCACTCTTTTATTATATTTTTTTATATTTTATTTTTCTTATTATCCAGAAAGGTAAGAGTCCTGAGATTTCCATATTACTTTTTAAGGTATTAGTGCCTGGTTCCTCTGTTAGTTCACCTGTCATCTTTCTTACTTCCTCATTCCAAACACTCAATAAAATCTGGCATGCTGCTAAGATTGACAGGTAAGCTCTAATGTGTTTCTGCTGTAGAGATGCTTCTATGGTGATTGGCCATTAACATCCTGAACTTACTGTCTTTTATTTTTTTTTAATTTAAAAGTCTGTGCCTGAGGATAGCAGTAATGAAAGTATCTCTGGCTTCTGAAACTAAAAGTAAGCCGTGAAATGGTTCCTTTCACTGCCTGAAACACAGGCCACCCCAAAACACTGATTTTTGTTAAGAACTGCCAGCTGGGCTGCAATGTCCTTCTGTAATTTCCCTTTACTCCAGACAAAAAATTCACTGTAGTCACTGACTTAGGGGACAGCCAGACGGCTCCCACCAGCTGCTCTATTATTTCTATCAGGACGAATGAAAATTATCTGTGATTTTTTTTGTACTAACAATCCATTCTCATTAGGCAGAATGTCCCAGTATCAATAAAGCAAAGGGTCCACTTTGGGACTTGGCTAGTTTCAGTCAGGGATTGACATTTACCCAGCATTCTCTGTCCTCTCTTAGTATTATCCCAACCAAATATGTTGTGTGTGTGTGTGTGTGTGTGTGTGTGTGTGTGTGTGTGAAGAGAGAGAGAGAGAGAGGCAGATAGATTGTTTTTAAAGTACTAGGATTGAACTAAGAGCCTTATACTTCCCCACTGTGTTTTTTTAAGCTTGTGATGCCCACTTATTTGCCTAAAACCAGATTGCATTTTTTTCCTAAGGAAATCCTGATTCAATTCAGTGGAGCAAAACATTTTAACTGTAATTTGTTCTCAGGTCTATTTCTAGATAGCAAAGTACTTTAGGAAAGAGTGAGTTCATACAAATATAATTGAGTCAGAATCTTAAATTTTCACTACTTTGAGCTGCCACTGGTAGTTCATGCCTGTAATCCTAGCTAATCAGGAGGCTGGGAATCTGAGGACTGGTTCAAAGGCAGTCCCAACTGAAAAGGCTGTGAGACTCTTACCTCCAATTAAACACCACAAAGCTGGAAATGGTAGAGTACTGGCCGTGAGCAAAAGAAGCTCAGGTCCTGAATTTGAGTTCCAGGATCACCCCCCCAACACAATATTTCAGTATTTTTAATATGTCTAATATGTAGTTCCTATTTAAAAAACCACCAATAACCATCTGTATAACTCTGGTTCCTCTAGAGGATCCTATCTCACATTTGTATCAATAACATTTGGGTTTGGTTGGTTGGTTTTGGCAGTACTGGGTTTTGAGCTCAGGGTTTATGCTTGCTCCTATGCCTCTGCCGCTTGAGCTACACCTGTAACCCTTCCTCTATTTGTCAAATAGGCTCTTCAGTTATATGTAACCCAGCCTGGACGGAAATCATTTATGCTGCCTCCACAGTTGGGATAATAGGCTCATGACATCCTTGTGCTGGGGATAAGATGGGGTCAGAATGTGACATGGGAGGAAGCTGGGCTGCATGGGGAATGAGGGAAATATGGGCTAGAAAAAGAAGGTGGAATCCACTAGGAACAGGGAGCATTGATTGGATGGATGCCAGGCAGGGACTAGACTTCACTCAGAAGATGTTCACAGAAGAGCATTTTGCTGCTATTGCTCGATAGGCATTCTGAAAACTTTTTCCCAAGCTGGTATCAAAGCATGATCCTCCCAAGTAGCTAGTATTATAAGCATGAGCCACCATACTGGCTGAATAACCTCTCCTTAGATCCCTTTAATTTAGAAAAGTTTCCCTTTGTAAGGGTTCCCAGATGGACTTACTCAAAGAGTTTAGATCAGTTGTTTTGTAGACAATTTGGATTTGGCCCATCATTGGTCAGGTGAGATAATTTTAATAAAATTCTAATGATTTTTTTCATTCCAAGAATACACAGGTGATGGCATGTCTTTCTTATTACATCAGCTCACAAAGGGTCAGCTTGGCCCATATTGGTGATGACAATTTTGGTCTCTCAACTGCAGTGAAGAAAAAAATTCTCCAGTGGAAAAAGTTGTGTGTGTGTGTGTGTGTGTGTGTGTGTGTGTGTGTGTGTGTGTGTTTAACTTTTTAGAAATGATGCGTAATCTGTAGAATGAGAATAGGAGACTGTAACTACCCTTCTCTCTCTCACTGCATGTTTTATCATACTCTACCATGTGAACCACAGCACCACTTCTGGATTTTTCTGAGTAGTTTATTGGAATTAGAGTCTCATGGACTTTACTGCCTGGGATGGCTTTGAACTGCAATCCTCAGATCTCAGCCTCTGTGTAGCTAGGATTACAGGTACCACACTCGATGTTGTGTTGTCCCTTCTCCACAAAAGCAATCAAGACTCTGAAACATCAGGAAAATGATATAATAAAGGATAAGTTCAGTTAAGTTAGTAAAGGAAGGCCCAAAATAAGCTAAAATATTTGAGGAAAAATATATTTCCATGTTGTATGGGAAAGGAATAAAATAGGTTATTGATAGCATTTTCTCCTTAGGAGGGAAATGGATTCATTTAGTCTAATATCTTGAATTTCCCTTTTGATATATTGGACAGTTTGTTTTGGTGGCACTATAATTATAATGGCTGTGATGTTATTTCTGCTGTGGGTTGACAGGAAATGGGGAAGCAGATCTCTGCACATCCAAAGGCAGAATTAAGGTATGTACCTACCTACCTATCATCCAAAGCACTTTGGCCCAAATGTTGTTGAGTTATATCTAATTGAAGAAATGAGGAAAAGCATCCTCAGGGAAGTAGTTCTTGAGAGATGGGTTGCGGGAAGTGGGTGGAGCAGGTTTAGCAAGAAAGGCATATGGAAGTACATGGAGTCCCTTAGCTGGAAATAAGACAGGGTCAGAATGTGGCATGGGAGGAAGCTGGGCTGCATGGGGAATGAGGGAAATGTGAGCTAGAAACAAAAGATGGAATCCATTAGAAATAGGGAGCATTGATTGGATAGGGGGCAAGGACTGTGCTTCAATCAGAAGATGTTCACAGAAGAGCATTCTGCAGATAATTTTCCAGGTGATCTGCAGGCAAGATTGCCTGGGAATAGTCTTTTGAGAGGGATAGTTAGTTGGGGCTAGATTCTACATTCATCCATCATGATTTACCAAACAGGCTAACAGCTGACAATTATTAAGATGTGTGAGAAAATAAGACAATACTTTGGATGTCCAGGTGACAATCTCAGATGCCCACAGGGACCAGGTAAGTCACATACATTACAAAAAAGAGGCAGAAATGTGCAGCATATGTCCATCATTCACTGAGACAGCCCCTCCTCAGCTCC